TTCCAGGCCGGGAGGGGTCTTCTCAACCATGGTGACTCCCTTCCCCCAATGCCCCCCCCCAGCCTCTGCTCTCTCTCATGCCCCCTGCCCAGCTTTCCCTCCCCCTCCCCCCGCCCCCCGCAGCTCCATGCCCTGGCAACCTCTCTCAAGGCTGAGCCTGGGGCTACCAACCTCTTCCCCTGGGACCTTCTCTTCCCCAAAGATCCTTGGCTAGAGGGTCTTGATCCTCCACTCAGGGTCAGGGGTCAGGGACTGAATTGTAGAATGGGGTGGGATCTTGCCTGGCTTCTCTCCCCACTGCATCTGGTTTGGTAGACATGGGGGCCTGGACACTTGGGTAGTCTCCCATCACCTCAGGAGAGAATCCAGGTGTCCGGGCTTCCAAATCTTCCCCCCAGAACCCCTATAGGGAGAGAACCCAGGCATCCCATCTCCCAGCTCTACACCACCAATCCCCACAGGGTAAGAACCCAGGCATCTGGATCTCCCAACCCTACCCCACTGAAAACAAGCTGAGAACTGAGGGGTCCAGGCCCCACCTTCAAACCCACTTATCCCCCTCCCAAACACCACCCCCCTTCCCTCAGCTACCCCACATGCTGGGAGAGAACCCAGGTGTCTGGGCTCCCAATCTTACCCCACACCTCCCCTACAGGGAGAGAACTCAGGCATCCGGGCCCCCAACTCCACCCCACCACCTCCTACAAGGTAAGAAAGCAGGCGTCCAGGCTCTCAACCCCACCCCACAACCTCCTACACCATAAGAACCAGGTGTCCTGCCCCCAACTCTACACCCCCCCAGGCATCCAGGCCCCCATCTTCTCCCCCTAACCCCCTCAACTCCCCCAACAGGCATATTCCAAGACCCCCTGATGCCTCCCCACCCTAGCCAGGTGACCTGTCCCCAACTTGACACACCCCACAGAGAAGAACCCAAGCATCTGGGCCCCCATTGTCTCCCCCGACCCCCTCAACTCCCCCAACTGGCAGCATCCAAGACCCCCCTGCCCCTTCCTCTCTTACCTCGTAGCCATGCCTCTTCTTGAGGCGCTTCTTGTTGAGCCGCTTGTTGGCATACATCTTGCCAGTGGCCCGCATCTGCGTAGCACAGACCTCCCCGAACCCCCCTTTGCCCAACACCCGGAAGTCGAGGAACCATTCCTCCGTCACTGGCTGGGCCTCCAACCACTTGAACTGGAGGAAGCGGGAGAAGAAGGGGCTGTCCTGGAAGGGGCCCCATGCCTGGGCCTCCAGATGTTGGAGAAGCTCTTCTTCCACCTCCTTGAAGAGGTCTCCCCGGGCCTGGTTGGCTTCAGCCTTGACTTTGGCCAACGTCTTCTCCTCCAGAAAGGTGCAGAAGAGTGGTGAAGACACCTCCAAGAACCGGTTGATGGCCTGTTGAGCTCGTTGTCTCCGTTCAGCCTCCTCAGCCTCCCCGTATTCTTCAAGGGCCTTCCAGAGCCCTGCAGGCGCTTCATAGGGGCTCTCAGGGGCCTCCAGGAACTGCCGGAAGAGGCGGCGGCCCAAGGGCTGCTGGAGGCATGTGCTGTGGAAGGGGCCGCCAGCAGATGCCTCCCGCAGCTCCTCGCACTGTGAGATGTGGGGAAGACGGAGGCGGTCCCGCATCTTCTTGTCCCGCACCGGCGCCCCCACCTGGCTGTCGATGCTG